ACCTCTATAAATGCCCTTTGCCACCCAGCTCTTTCCTCTATTTCCCTTGACTTTCCTCCTGTCCCACTATCATGCTCAGTCCCCACCAGGGTTTCAGCACTTCCTCTTTGTTACATTACCCTTGATCATGCCCCACCAGGCCTCCCACACCCTCCTCACCACCAATTTGGATCACTTGTTTTTCCCTTGTCCCAGGGTTTGTTAACACCACTTCCTTTCCCCCTACCTCCCCCTCTCCCATGTCCCCCCGGAACTGTGTATATTTATCTCTCTGTAAGTTCAGAGTATGTAAGACCTTGCTCAAAGTCACACAGAGACGGTTAGGGACAGACTGACCAGCGCTCATTGTCACTTGTACCCTCCGTGTATTGTTCTACTAATTTCCTCTTGTTTTGCTACAACTTTCATCCATTGTCATGTATTCTCTTCAGAACAGAACTGGTCATCATAATATGCAAGCGCATTCAAGATTAGAATTTGAAATTTAGGAGGAGGTTTAATAACCTGCTCAAAATTACAGAGCCAGTAAGAACAGGTCTTGGATTACCTCTCATAGTGCTTCCTTCTTGGACTACCTCTCAGGTTGCTTCCATCTCAAAAATAGAATTCTTATCATCCTGTTGTCTGGGTTGATTTATTTTCCCTTAAAAATCTTTGTGATTTGTGCTTGTGAAAATTTCAAAATAAATACAAAACCAATGATTATGGAAGCTCTTAGAAAGTTCTTTTATTTGATGATAATCAAATCATTCTGAAATTTTTGTTTATTAGGCAGTAATTATGATAACGGCTCTAGGCCATGCATTTCTTTTCATTTGTATATCTCATATAGGCAGAGATACATATCTTTGGTAAAACCTCAGCCTAGTTGCAGCTTGCTGTGTGACAGTGCATAAACCACTTCACTTACACACATGGAACCACATGCATTTTCTTTTCGGCCATTTGCTCTCCATTTTGATAGACCCTGGGGCAAGAAAGAGTGATTAGATATGCATCCCTGCCCCAGAGGTCACAGTCACTGACATGTAAATGCATCATTAAAACACACTGTGCTGAAGGGCAGAATGGACATACGGGAGGGAGTGGAGCTTATACTTTTTTTGAGCCACTGGCCTCTTCGATGAAAAATTAGGTTATAAATCTTCCCTAACAGTCTACCCAAAGGATTATGCTAAAGTCTGAAATGTAATAATACATATATGTAGGTAAAGTACATATAGTACCATAAAGGATTTCACATTATGAATCACTAACATGAAAATTGGGTATACCTTTGACTCTTAAGTAAGGTCCCATTCTAAGACCTTCTAAAGAGATTATTGATCATGTGGGAGGGAAAAGGTGCATGCAAAAGAATGTTATTTCATGCTCTATAGGAGGAAAGAATTCAGTATTTCACAGTTGAGCTACGGTAAACGCATACATTCAGTGTGGAATATTATGCAGCCATTTAAATTGAGACTGACGATCCATCTAGATTGTGTTGAGTATTGAGTTACAGATGAAGACTGTAGAGGAGCCCATGTCACATGATTCTACTTTTGTAAAATGTTGCATTCATTATGTGTATGTATAGCAGAGCTGAAAGAATGTTCATAAAATATTGACAGTTAACACCTGAAGCATCTTGTGTCATTTATTTTCATCTTTGTATTCTATTTGACAATTTAAGGGTGAGAAAAACATGCAAGTATCGTGTAACCAATAGACATCTCTCTGCACAGGCTATTCGATGACAGACTGGGTTTTGTCTATAACAAGATTTCCGTTCAACAACAGTTTGTGAGTAGCTGATCCATGCAGCACCGTTCTAGGTCAAAAGGACAATGCAAACTGCAGCGAAAGCTCAGTGGGTTGTGCTCAGAGTGGGTATTTAATACCACGAGCATCCTGACTCATTTGCTTTTCAAACGGCTAGAAAAAAATACCGTGTTCTAAATTTAAACTTCTCTGTTAATACTTGTTTTGTCCTAGTACATAAAAGACTTGGTCACATTATCTAATTTGGGTGCCTGGATTGAAATAAAGCAATTTAAGGGATTTCAAAACAGTATGACTCTCCTCCTCCTCCTTTATAAAGGAATGGTTTCCGTGAACTCCAGAGTGTACAGTGAAAGGATATTTGTTTAAATGTTTGGCTGTCCTCATTGTGTACATTTGCCCATTCATCCTGTCTCCCATTTGTGTGTGTGTGTTTGTGTAATTGGTACACTGCACAGAATAACTGTGGGGTCAAACCTCCATAAGTAAACAGACTGGAAGTTGTCCCTGACAAAAGCTCGCTACGATTCAGAGCATTATTGACATGCGTGGATGATGGAACTCAACTCGCCAACCTAGTAGCGTATTAAATTAAGTAAAGAGAGTCCAAGTTCCACATCTTAATCTTAATGCATGGTTACCTAGAGCCTATTTATTGTAGTGGTGTCTACCTATATTTATACGCAATGCTCCTTCAGTTCATTAAATGATCCTGGTGTACCCTAATGTGCATTTCCAGGTGATTTACTGGGATTCGTTCTGTCTCTGCCTCCTGTGCCTTCAAAAAACAGCTTGGGAGGCCCTCCTGAAATGGAATGTTCTACTATGTTTTGGCAATTAAGATCTATTTCTTTGAATGGAATCTGGCAAATTAAGTAACTGGAAACATTTTTGTTTCTCCTTCTTAAAACACTGGAATACATTCCTGAAAACACTTGTATCAGAAATATCTTTATTTATTAATCACAGTTATTTGTTATAAAGAATTGTCATTTTTCTCTTACCATTTGCCATCCAAGTTATCCATGATTTTTTGGGGTGTTTTTATTTAATGGAACATTATAAAAGGATTGAATGATATGAAGACAAAAATGCTTAGATATTTTTAAGTTTTTCAAGATATACAGGAATTTGAATGTTTCTGGCTCTTACATTATGCCTTTGGAATCAATTCTGTTTATAGCTGCTTCTTGTAACTATAGCAAATACTACACATGAACGTTTTGATATTAGTCAGCTTTAATGTCAGTTAGTTATACCTTGCTTATACCTCCTATACCTCTCGCATGTAAACCTAGGTGAAGCAACATTAAAAGTTTTCATGCAAAACTTTGTTTTATTTTTTTTTAAGATACGTGGGGGAAAGCTCATGATTACTTACACCCGTAAGAGTGATGCTGGCAAATACGTTTGTGTTGGTACCAACATGGTTGGGGAACGTGAGAGTGAAGTTGCCGAGCTGACGGTTTTAGGTAAGTGGAATTTTATCTAATCTGTTTAATTTAAAACATACATACATTCCATATATTCTCTTAGATGAGAAAAATAAATGGACTGTTTTAGAAGGTCAAGCAGTATCATCCAGAGTACAGAAGGGCGAAAAGGAGACTGAGATGAAATAGCAAAGAACTTGGAGTCGTACTAAGGCGAGGAGAAGAGGCTTCCAGGAGTAGGGAGCTCTGGGGGCTTCTTTTCCATAGAGGATTTACATGAAGAATTGACTGAGCTTCAGGACGACTGTGCTGTTCGTCCATTGGTTTTCATTCATTCCTTGAGACGTTTTCTTCGAATTTTAGAGAGACCCTCCTTTGTGAAGAGACCTAGCAACTTGGCGGTGACTGTGGATGACAGTGCAGAATTTAAGTGTGAGGCCCGAGGTGACCCGGTGCCAACGCTCAGGTGGAGGAAAGATGATGGAGAGCTACCCAAATCCAGGTACGGATAGTCACGTCGGCACTTTCGCATTTCTCGTCAGACCATCGTCTGCAGATTGGCCTTTAAAGTCGTGTTTCCCCTCACCTTGGGGCCAGATACATTACAAATTAGAAATATACCAGGAGGTTACCATTTTCCCTAAGGTTTTCTAATATATGACTATATTGGACTATATAAGCTATATATCTAATATATAAACGATATATCCCTGACCTTGACCTGCGTAAGAAACACTTGTAAAATGTGACTTTCCTTAAACACATTCAGTTAGCCACAGTAAATGCCAATTTGTGTGTGTGTAATCACATAGGAAAGGGAAGCGAAGTACAACATTTACAATATAATGATGAGTCAATTAAATACCGAGACCCCTTTCTTCCTGCTACAATATCACCAGAGAATGAATGGCAAAGGGTAAGAATTTCTTGAGATCTGACAAGACCATAAATTGGTTAAAATAGACATATGCTCTCAGCCTTAGGTTATAAGGCTGAAGTATTCAAGTTTTATCTGTAGACCACCTTTTGAATTTGTTCACGATTCAGCAAATAACTGTTGAGTTTCTCCCAAGTTCTATAGGTAAGAGCCCCAATATTTTCTTGCTCTCAAGGAGCTCAGACAAGGATGGATAAAGAAAAATCTGTTGTCACACATGAGAGTAAATTAAAGTATTGCTTCAAAATTATAGAAAGCTTTATTAAACAAAGACACCTAAATGTGAAAGTTTCAGTTTTCAACATATCCTTCACCTAGGTCTATGTACTTCTCCTTTTAAAAAAAATCATTTTATTGGAGGCTCATACAACTCTTATCCCTACATCCATCCATTGTGTCAAGCACATTGGTAAATGTGTTGCCATCATCATTTAAAAAACATTTTTTACTACTTGAGTCCTTTGTATCAGCTCCTCATTTTTTCCCTCCCTCCTTCAGGAACCCTTGATAATTTATAAATTAGTATTACGTTTCCATGTCTTGCACTGTCCGATGTCTCCCTTTGCCCCCTTATCTGTTGTCTATCCCCCTGGGAGGGGGTGATAGGTAGGTCATGGTGATTGGTTCCCCTTTTCTCCCCCACCTCCCCCTGCCCCTCCTGGGGTCTGTGTACTTCTAAGGGCAATGTTTCTATCTCTTTAACCTTCCCAAATAATGTTTCACCCTGATGCATACACCCCAACAAAAGAACAGTTTGGGCACCTTGTGGTGGTGGTGGTTGGGTGCTACCCAGTGAGTTCCTGTTCATCGTGACCTGTGCACAACAGCAGAACCCCGCCTGGCCCTACCCAACCCTCACAGCATTTGAGCCCGTTCTTGCCGCCACTGTTGTCAGTCCACCTTGTTGAAGGCCTTTCTCTTTTTCTCTCTCCTCTTCTTTACCAAGCAGGATGTCCTTTTCCAAGGACTGGTTTCTCCTGAAAGCATGTCCAAATACTACGAGACAAAGTCTCCCCATCCTTGTACCATTCTGGCTGTACTGGTTCCAAGGCAGCTTTGCTGGTTCCTTTTGTAGTTCATGGTACTTTGCATCTTTTCCACTAGCACCATAATTCAAATGCATCAGTTTTTCTATTCCATGCACAACTTTTCACAAGCCTATTGACAATCCCATGGCCTGGGCCAGGTGCCCCATAGTCCTCAGAATGGCAACTCTGATTTACAGCACTTTAAAGCGCTCTCAGGCAGCAGATTAACCCAACGCATTGTTCTTGGTCTTTTGCTTCACTTTTTCTCTGTTTATCCATTGGTGATATTATGGCTGTCACCACTGTTTTGATTGGACCTTATTCTTCCGAATCGTATTCCAATCATAAATCCAAGACTCCTCCCCAGTTACTGTTTATTTCATAAAGTCTTCATTAGTTTTTATCTTGCTTAAAGCTTAATGGAAATATTGTCTTTGACCTAGCTGATCTCCACAAAAGACTTTTGGCCTTCATCCAGCCAAAACATTGTTGAGGTCAAATTGTTAGTTTAAGAATGCAAATAATTTGAACGTTGAAGGGAAGGATGCGTATGGAACTTAAAGTCTGAGAATCGGGTTTGCAGAAAGCTATGAATGGCAGTGGGAGCTCAAGAGTCATTGGTGGAACTAGACCGGCAGTCAGCCTCTGGTGAACTCCCTCTATCCACAGTTGAGGGCGAGGAGGAAAGGGTTTACTAAACGGAGTGCATTGTAGAGTCGGGTACAGAAGGTCAAAGGCATAAGCCTGACTTCACAGTTACAACTTGGCAGCAGATTCCTCCTATGGTGCGTGCTGGTCCTGATCTGGTTTCCAAACTCTCATGTATTTGGGGTTGCATTGTTTTATTTGGCTTGGGGTCGTACATATTAATGTGCACCTCAGAAGTGTTAAGTCATTGGGGGTCACCCTCTTGAGGTGGCGGTTTATGTTTTTTCATTTTTTTAGTGTATGAAAACCAGGGTCGATGAACCTATGGAGTCCGCAAGTGGAATAAGGGTTTTGGCTGGGGGGTGGGGAGTGGTAGAGGTGGAGGGAAAGAGTGATGATGTCAAGGAGTCCAAACAGAAAAAGAGTGTTTGAAAACTGATTGTGATAGCAAATATACAATTCTGCTGGACGTGATTGAACTATGGGATGATTTAATATATTTCATAGGTGATTTAATCCAAATAAAAACGGAATGAATTAGTTTTTTAAAAGAATGCAAATGCCAAGTCACGTCAGATCCCATATTCAATAACTGTCCCATCAGTGGTAATTCTAAGTGCTTCCCTACCGGTTTCTGGACTTCAGCCATCGTTTCTTCATGTCTAGAGCTGGATGGTATTTCCTCCCTTGACCCTTTGGTATCTATTTTAAAATTCTGCATAATTTGGTGCAGCATGACTCTAAACTTTTGGCATATCTTCAATGATGATTGGGGAAGATGTATGTGAGGGTTTTTTTTTTTGTTTTTTTTTAAGTAAGTCATTTTTTTTCCCCAATGTACCAAAAGTCTTTTTTTTTTTTGTGGACCCTCTAAGGAGACTTCAGGAGACTTTGGTAGTGCTGTTGGGTATGTGTTGGACTGCTAACTGCAAGGTTGATGGTTCAAACCCATCAGCCACTCCAGATCAGAGATATGAGACTATCTTCTCCCATAAAGATTTAAAAAAAAAAAAAAA